TGTTTTCTTGATGTGCACTTAACCTTTATATAAAACTCTCTCTTGTACATGGGTTTCTGTGGATTTGTTTCTCTAAGTACCCAGACTAACACATTATGGTACCAGGAGTGGGGTACTGGAGAAACAAATCATAAGATGGAGAGTAGATGTTTGTTTGAATTCTCCCTCGTGTAGTTTTTCTTCTTTGTCTAGCCAGAGGTCAGATAAAGCACACTGTTTACTCGGTTGTTTTCTGGGAAAAATATGGGAAGTATGAAAATAGAAAGTTTGTAAGCCCACTTGCTTTCAGCCATTAAAATTTGATCCTTAGATGGGTTTAGACCATGCCTGTAAAGAAAGCTATGCAAAGAAAGATATGCCCCACCCAGTGCTTTGAAGTACTCAGGAACCAATGGTCTTTGTCAGAAGCTGGAAAAAATCTGGAACCATGAAGACAACTCCCCTCTAGGACTGAATGTTAAAGGGATCCTGTGAGCAGGCTAAAATGCTTGCTAGTGACCACCTGGATCTACTTGTTGAGTGGAAGTGGGAGAAATGCAGCAATAAAGAGACAGGTTGAGTTTGGCCACTGACACCTGTGGACTTGGTTTACAGGAAAAAGAAAATGAGAGCAGGTTGAGTGGTCTAAAGTTCATGACCTAGCACAAGGGGGCTAGGCTTGTTGAGTATTGGTGAGAGCCCATGGTCTAAAGGCAAGGTGACTAGTGGGCACCCTATGGAGGCTGAGTGAGGTAGCCCACATTGAGTTGACCAGAACCCGACCAGATGGGGATTTTTGAGCCTGTGAACTGGTGTATATTGTTGCTGACTTTATGGATGGCCAAGTAGAATCTGTGACATGGTGGTGAGGTGGGGAAGGGGTGTGTGTGTGAAATTGTTCACTACAGATTAGCCAGTAAGCACAAGTAAACCCTGCTATGTGGATAATCTGACACTGTATTTACAGTAAATCCCCAGGTTACAAAAATTGGATTTACAGACAACTCTGACCTGCCATTTCATATTATATAAACTTGTCCTCACTTTGAAACGATTAGAGAAATGATTACTCGCGGCAAATCCTTTGACACAATCTCCTTCACTGGGGGCACGTGCAACTTTTAAATCATTAAAAAGGCTTTGAGCATTTTCTTGCACAAAGGTATGTAAGTAGCATATGCACCTCTTTCGACTTATCTACAAATTCAACTTAAAGACATATGAACTGATCTCAAATGTAACACGAGGACAGCCTTTACAGTATTTGGCAAGAGGGGAAAGGAGGTTTCTGTGGACCTTGCTCTCAGCTCGGTAACTGTGGGCAGGATCCATAAGTGGACAATTGGCTTTGTTAGCAATAAGAGAATTATTTGTTTATTAGCATCATTACTTCCACTTAAACCATTTGTAAAGAAAGCCTGCCAATATGATCATGACATTGCTCAAAGTTGGGTTTAGAAACTAAAGTTTCTAAAGTTCTAGCCTTGGACCTACTTACCATCTCACCCCATTGGGTGCTCTATTATTAAAGCCCACACCCATCAAGTTGATTCCCATTCATAGTGACCCTATCTCTGCAGGGTTTCCAAGGTTATGATTCTGTAGTGGCTGGTGAGTCTGAATCACTAAACTTGTGGTTAGCAGTCTAACGCTTATTTATGCTTACTTATTTACTAAAAACTAACAAACTAAGTCTTGAGTCAATTGGTAATGTGACATGAGATAAAACAAATAAAAGTATCGAACTTCATGCCATCAAGTTGGTTCTGACTCATAGGACAGAGTAGAATGGTCCCATGGGGTCTCCCAGCCTGCCCTGCTTTCTCCTGTACAGCAACTGGTGAGTTCAGACCACTGACCTCGCTGGACAGTCGAGCACTTTGTAAGGTTAACAGATAGCCTTATGTTTGTAGTCTCCAACTTGCATTCTATTTGAGTTACAATGAACCATATTCACAAGTGTTTGTGGGTGTTTCTTTGTATAATTTATCCTTAGTAATGTTTATTATATGCAATGTTGCAGCAAATCATTTGCCAATGTTATCATCCCCCATGCCAACCCAACCCCCAAATCAAGATAAGATATTGATAATGAAAAGCAATAATGATGAAAACTTTTAAAAAGAATGAGAAATTCAATTTATGTCAGAACCAATTTACAACACCCCACTGTATGTCAGGGACTGCCCATGTAAATATTTAATCTATTGTGAATAGAGGACTCTGTATAAATATTTAATTAGCGCCCTCCAGACTCCTAACCACTAGAGACTCAGTTTGCCCAAAATGAAATTCCTATTATTTCCCAGACCTAACGATTGATGCACCATTCATATGCTGAGCCTCCACCCAGCACCCGAGTCACTTCAGTCTCCTCTCAGCTCTCTGATGACATGCTTGTAAAGGTTCTCTTTAACCAATGCAGTTGGGAAGTGGTTTACCAGACAGAAGAAGAAACTAATGAACACTCTTTTCCTTTCTCTCCCGGCTTCCATCCACTGCGCTAAGTGCTGAGGGAGCAATCTGGCTCCAGAGATGTCCCAGCCAGGGCCGTGGCTTCCATAGCAGTGAGAGGCCAATGCCAGAAAGGCAGCCCTTCCAAAAGAGGACTGCTTCCTGAGTCTCAGCCAGCACGTTTAGGACCGCTGTGTGGGTGACCGGGGAGAAAGGTGCCAGCAAAGGAAATAGCCCATGCAGGGTGCAAGGTGGTGACCATGGTGAGTTGCTCACAGTGATTTCTGGAAGATCAAGTGCATAAGACGATGACAGTGAAGCTATACAGCCAGGTATATCCCCGATACGAAGGCCGAGAGGGTGAGCTGAGGAAGTTTACTTACTTTAAAAAAATGAAACCCATGGAAAATGTTTCATAGACAAGTTAACAGTTTTGCCTCTTAGGAAGGTCACTGTGGCCGAGTATAAAGAAAGAATGGATTTGAAAGGTCAGAAGCATCTTTTAAAAGGTCTGTTCTATGGTGTATGCACGTGGTGATGCCTAAGTTCGAATAGAGGTGGTGAGATAATGAGGGGTGGGATATTTAGGAGGTCTTGGTTGATTCGCTATGAATGACGGGGCGGGGAGAGTCAGAATGGACTCAGGTTTCCCACTGAGCGATCATGGAGATAGAAAGCAGAAGGTGGAAGGTGAGTTGAGAGGGAATGTGGGGCTTTTCTTGGGTACTTTGAAATTGTCGTGCTGATACGATCACCCAGACGGTGTTCTGGATGGAGCGTGTGCACTTGAGTGTACAAACTAAAGAAGACCCCACTGGGGATAACGAGGAAAAGAAGTCAGGCAAGGCGGAGATTCGGGAGAATTGTGTGCCAGACACCACGCAGGAAAGGATTTAAGAATGAGGGAGTGGATACCAGGGTCACATGTTTCCTGGGGTCCTTTCACCTCAAGGCCCCAGGATTTCACGAGCACCCGAGATGAGGGCAGGGCTCGGGGCCTGATGAGGGTGCACACTAGATTACAACAGGCTGCGTGAGCAAGATGAGCAGGGGAGGGGTGAGTGCACTGCTTTTGCCCGGAAGGCGAGGCCTGGAATTGTGCTAGGCATGCTCAGCGATCTCTCACCGGCTCCCAACACAGCCCTGATATCCCCCGACCCCCCGAGTTTGCCACGGAGTGGGCTCTGACTCGTGGCGACCCCCTATGCGTCCGACAGAGCTGCGCGACAGAGGATTTGGGGCAGCTGATTTGCCGGAAGAAGGGGTTTCTTCCCAGGCGTCGTCTCTGGCTGGAATTAAACTTCCGACTCTGCAGTTAGCGGCAAAACCCTTCAACCACGTGCACCATCCAGCGACCTCGGGTACAGAAGAGATACCTCCGTGAATTGTTATAAACTCAGGAAGGGCGTGAGAGATCTAGACAACAGCGAGATCTGGTGACGGACTCCGAAGGAGGCTTTTGTCGTTGCTTTGCTTTCAGCTGTGAGACCCTACCCTAAACCTTTGTCATCGACCCTAGGGAGGGGTCCAGAGACCGTCTGAGGTGATGTGCTGAAGGAAAAGGACCCCCTGCAGTGGGAGGGGGACTTACAGGTGCAATAACAAGAATAGAGCGTGTGGAAGAAAGTTCCTGAAGGAGATGAGATGGGGAGAACCCAGAGCCTGTAGATAAAGTAGACAAGAAAGGAGAGATAAGAATCAGCATGGATTGATTAATAAAACAACCTAGAAGTTGAGGGCCTCACAAATGATTGTTTTTTCTGCAAAACAGGAATCCAATACCACGTGTAGAGAAAGAAGCCAGCTAGGAAGGGCGGGCCTAGGAGAGCGGTGATTCTTTGGCCCAATGGCTGAGGGGAATAAAAGTCGCTGACCAGGCGTGAAGCCCTGTGTTTCCTCAGTGGTGGGCAATGAGCCGACCCTAACCCTACCCAGAAGCCCATCCTCTAAAGCAGCCGCCCTTCAGCCCCCTGTGATGCTATAACTACTTCAGCCCAGCCCTGTGATGCTGTAACTATTTCAGCCCAGCCCTGTGAGCTGTGGACTCATCCCCCTTGAGATGTTTTTTCTCCACTTGTGTAATAACTGACTGTAGAGCGAGATCGAAAGTACTATGGGCTGCCAAAAGAACTGACAAATCTGCCTTGAAAAAAGCACTGTCAGAATGCTCCTTAGAAGCAAGGATGGTGAGGCTTGGTCTCGCATACTTAGGACATGTGGGGGAAGGCCATCGTGCTCAGGAAAGTAGCAGGGCAGCGGAAAAAGGAGAAGACCTTCAACAAGATGGATTGGCCTGGTGGCTGCATCGAGGGGCTCAAACTTAGGAATAATTGTGGGGATGGCACAGGACCGGGAAGGCTTCATTGTGTTGTACCTAAGGTCAGTATGAGTCAGAACTGACTCGACGCCGCCTAACAGCATAAAGCAACGTAGAGTGCGATTTTCCAATTCTAATGGAATGGAGATCTTTAAATTAATGCCTGTTGACATTGCTGATGACGTGGGGGACTATGTTGACAACTCTGTCAAACTCTGTTGTATCACTATCCCGTTTCCTTTTCTTCTAGAAATCCACTATGCAACTGCCTACTGGATGAGTTCTGAAAAGACAATACAAATAAAAGATGTACTGGACAAGAGTGGAGATGCTTATGGCTTTTACAATGACTCCGTAAATGCTACCGGCTGGGGCATCCTAGAGATCCGAGCGGGCTATGGCTCTCAGAACCTGAGCAATGACATCATCATGTTTGCAGCCGGCTTTTTGGAGGGTTACCTCACCGCCCCGTAAGTACCTCCTTTAAAGCGTCATCTCTCTCTTTGCTCCACAGTCATTCTTGCCTCCCTGGTATTGTCCATTAGAACTGACAAGGAGCTAAGGTAGTATAAACATCATCAGAAATGCACGTGCACCTCTCTGATTCCTATCCGCCTTGGGAGAACAAAGAGACGCTGGTCACAGCACTTTTCCAGTCTCGTGTCACTGCTTTGAAGTGTTCCTTCTCACGGTCCTCTTTTTAAAGGACAGTTAAGCAATTTCATCATACTAGTTATTTATGACCACGTCAGAAAAACATGACAGGTGGAGAGACTCCTTGAGAAAACAGACAATGGTGAAGATTAATTTAAAATAAAATAAAATATTTTTATTTTAAAAATAAAATACATAAATATAGATATTTTATTTTATAATAATATTTTATATTATTATTATAAACAATATTTTATTTTATAATAATAATTATAAATATTTCGTTTATAGAATAAGTATTTTATTATTTTTAAAATAAAATATAGAAATATAAAATATAGAAAACATTTGTTTTTTAACCATCTTAAAACAATACTACCACATGGGCAAAGATATTTTAAACTAAGTCTGATATCAAGATTTCTTCCAGCCTGATCCTTGATTCTACCGTTTTTTTCCTTTGTCTCATAAAAATAACAAGCAGTCGTTATTTGCCATAATAATGCAATCAGGGGACATTCTTTTCTGAGGACAGCGCTCTAAGGATAGTAAAGGTGCAACTCATTTAATCAAGCCTCATCTCTCCTGGTTATAAAAAGTGTCTTGATGACTTGCCTCTTTTTTTTTTGCCTTTCTTTTACTCTGTGACCTAGATTGTTTAGTGCAGTGGAACCAACCCTTATTTCGGGCTACCACTATCTTAGATTAAGAGCCATGCTGATCTCAATCTAATTCTGAGGACTGGAGATTATATCAGATGTCAAATCACCAGTCATTGGGCACTGGATATGCTTTTTTAAAAAATAATTTAAACTACAAATTCGTTTTTTATTATCATGCCCCAGTTTTGCTATCCCCTCATGCAAATCCCTTCAACAGTATGCTATTTGGAGATATATAAAATGATATAAACGGAATAAAATGTTTAGAACATGCTTAAAGCTGTCTTATACATCTGAAGTAAACACATCCTCCCTTTCTAACCTGCTCCTTCGTCTCCAGTGGGTTCTGATTGCATGCTTTAAACTGAGCTGCGGTCGCTTTCCTTGGAGAAAGCAATCTGCCCTAAGTGGGGTGAAGGCAGGAGTGGCGTGTGTAGTGGGCTAGTAAGGCAAACCTGCAATGTGCCATGACCAGCTCTCGCTGGTGAGACTGTGCTGAGGATAGCTGGTGTCTTCCTTGAATATATCTGTAGGTGTCACTGTTAGAGCTGAAGAACTTTGAGGACGGCTTACGAATATGGCAGTTTCTGATATTCATATGTTCATAAAAAAATAACTTTTAGTGTCTCGTCACAGCACTTTAGGTGTAGTATTAAATTAAAAATGGACACAGAGGAGTGGGGTGCCAGCCCCCACCCGCTGCTACTACTATTACTACTACTTGGATTCAGTAATGCGCAATTGTACGGCTGAGATATATAAGTATTATATTAAAGTCATCGAGAGCATGAGAGATAATACAATAATACAGTCAGACATAATCATGGTAGCATTGCTCACCTCAGCCCAGCTTGGTGGTCCACGTGGAGAGAGGGGGAAGGGAAGATATAAACAAATAGCCCCCTCTTAGGGGTGTCATTAACCTGCAAAAGGAATTATGATTAAGATTGGGTGGCTTCTCCATGTCATCTTTGTCCATCTTTCTCCAAACGTGGTTGCGTCCTTCTGAAGGGAGTCCATCTGCTTTATTCTGTAAAAATATAAATGTATAGCCCTATCTCCAGGTGACTGGACCTGGATCCCAAACGCGATTTCCATCTTCTTGGGACTTCTTAGAATTAGCTTTCTCTGTAGAAGTGAAAATGTGTTTATCTTCCCTGATTTTATTACAAGCTTTTAGTAAGGAGAGAAATTTTTTGGTTAAATTGACCAAATTAAATTCATCATACATAAGATTCCTCTTCTCCCCCTTCTGTTTTAATCATTTAGATTTCAAAGCACTGCTAGCGAACTCAGTTACCATGCTTGGTCTTGAACCAGTAAAACTACTTGCCAGCTTGCCATACTTTGAAAGACTGAAAATTTTTTTAATAAATTTGTTCAGCTGTTTTTGAAGCAGTTTACCAAACAGACATTTTTTTCTCCAAGTTTACCAGAAAAGTTGCAGGCTTAATTAACCCACTTTGCCCTTCAGGCTTTTTACATTGTATGATCTTACAATCTTGAAATAGTCTCTCTTGGTTAACTTCACTCACTCCTTCCAAGCTGGATTTAGGGCAACTTAATGGGTGGGTCTTAGGCCCTTCTGAATGCCCTAAGGCAAAGACTCCATATCCAGAGCTTTTTAACAAATTCCTGAAGACCCCTTTGTGTAAAGGGTGGTCACACTTGAGTACTTTTTCCTGGTAGGCATGTATTTTTATTTTAGAGATGCAGGGAAACAAAAACCAGCTTACACGATTTTCCTTCTTTATCAACCATGGCATATCAGAATTTTTTATTGCCTTAATTTCTTCACAGTCCTGATCAATAATTCCAGCAACACCTTGATAATTTATGTTGGACTTTTCTAAGAAACATCCTTTAGTTCTTTTAGGTAGCGGACCCCAATTCCCGCTCATAATAATTTCTGATTTAATCACAGCTTCAGGCTTTTCCTCACAACTCTGATCAACTCCAGTATCAATTTTAATTCCTTGACTATTTAGGTTAAATCTTCCTGATAGAGGCTGTATTACTCTTTCAAAAACCGTTTCCTGCGTTTTAGAATCAACACGCTGCTGTGAGGGCTTCTGAGCCTTCTCTTGGTAGTTAAACTAACTGCTGTGGTAACAGAGGCTGGGCTTTTGTAAGTTTGGCTAGGTCTGGTCTGCTGTGAGATTGGGTGATACCTGTGATTTCTGCCATTCAAAGATTCTCTTGCTGGGTTAGGCAGAGGCCTTGCCTTCTGAGCTCTGTTAGGCGGGATTTGGATCAAGCGCCTTTCACTATTTTCCCGCTGGGTAGCCTTGGCTAATGGCAACCCGTCACTGTCGAATTTTGAATGACATTGGCTGGCCCAATGAGTTCCCTTTCTACAGCGTGGACAAAGTTTAGGTCCTTTTAAATCTGAATTAGGTGGCCCTGGCCCATGCTCTGGCTTAGGCCGCAGTTTGCTTTTCACGGCCAGGCTGATTGGGCTGTGCTTTCTACACTCTCTTTGAAGATGACCTGTTTTCCCACAACTGAAGCACCTTTTTCTAGGTCTGATGTAATTCGCCAGTGCAGCTGCCATGAGGTCAGCCTTGTATTCCTCTGTCTCTCCATTCCTTCATATCCTGAGATAATCTAGCAGGGTGCCCTTTTCCCTGTAGGGCCGCAAGGCATTTTTACAGTGCTTATTAGCGAAATCATAAGGTAGCTTATGCACTAGGTCTCTTACTGCCTGGACATTTTTTACACACTTGGAAATAGCATCTTCCAGCCGGGACACAAAGTCAGCATAAGGCTCATCGTTCCGCTGTCTTATAGCCCTGTAACTCGGCTCTCTCTCTTCTGATGGAATTATCTTTTCCCAGGCACTTAAGCAAACTTCACGTATCTGTCCTATTGTCTGTTCATTAAATTGTAGTTGGGACTCAACTGTGATATACTTCTCATCCCCTAGCAACTGATGAATTCCTATATCTATACCCTCTTCTGCATTTTTGCGAGCATGTGCGAGAGCTGTTTCGGCCCATAATAATTTATATCGCAAAGATTCTGAAGATGAGAGGCAAGATTTCATTATCGCCCTCCAATCTGCTGGGATCCAATGCTCATAATCTGCCAGAAATTTTATCATGCTAATAACAAATGGGGAGTCTGGACCATAGTTAGATACAGCTTGCTTGAGGTCCTTCAGTAGCTTGAAGGGGAAGGCAGTATGTTGCCGTTCTTGAATCCCTTGTGGGTGCTGCTCGTCAGGCTGTCTATAACTCTCACGGGATAAGCCACTCTAAATTCTAAATCTGCTTCCTGGGCTATGCTTTTCTGTACCTGTGAAAGCAATGGTGTCTTTCTACACCCTGCCCCTTTGCTTTTTGCTTCCCGAGCCTTACCCTCTACATTAAATCTCTCCGCTTGTTTTTCTTTGGATCTGACCTCTTCTCCTCCAGCACTGCCTTGCTTGATAGTATTGTGATTCTCCACACTATATTCAGGTGGGGCACATGGTTCAACTCTGCTATCTCCTGGTTCAAACTTTGCCTTCTCAGCTACACTTACAATTTTTTCATCTGCCTGAAATTCATCTTGCCCGCTTCTCACCTGATTTAAATCTGCGTAGTTTAGATGTTCCTCACTACTCTGCTGGTTTTGTTTCTCTGCTTTCTCTACCTTTGAAAGCAAGGGAGCTTCCTGGGGTTGCTTAATAGCCTCGCTTTGGATCTTGGAATTCGCTGCCTCTTCTACTTTATCACCTTCAACCCTTCAGAGGCTGCAGCCCCCCGAGGGCATGTAGGTTTTGGCCGTGAGGTTTCTTTTAGAATCAGAGGCTTTAGAAAATAAGTCAATCCCTGCTTTTTCAGTTTCTCCTAAAATTTCATTGTCTAATTCATACTCATTCATAGACACTTTAGCTTGCTTTTCTAGATTAGGATAGCTCACACAAGACTTCTCACTAAACTGATAATCCTCACTCTCTTCCTCCTGCAAAGGTCTTAAAACCACCTTAACTTGAACCCACAGAGGCCACGTCTCC